AAGCAGAGAAGCTTATGTGCCTGTTCAGCGTCTAAAAACCAGACGTAAAAACCAGTCGCAGGATTCCTGCAACATGTAAAAAATCACGTCTGGATTACTGCTGTTTTAAAAACCCGATCAGCACAAGATGGTTAGTTAAGAATGACTTTAAGTGAAGCACTATTGGCACTTTCCTCCTCACAGACTGCTCATAAATCGTCATCATTGTGCTATCGAGTCGACAAATTCTACTCCATCTAAAAACGATAACAAAGTCAACAACCCAAGCCCAGCCCAAGCTGTCTATATAGCTAATACAAGAAATTTACGGAGCCAAAAACTTACCCAACCTCGGGTCACAAAGAAAGTAGGAAATCTTGTTAAGAATGAAATTTTATACGGCGAACGAATGTTTTAGACCTACTCGTTGGTCATATGAATTGCTCAAAGTTTACATTTTAAGTCTGCCAATAGAACCACAGAAAACTTGGACAGTCCTATTAACTATACCTGCACAGAAGACCGCAGTACGTAAAAATAAGAACCCAACCCTAAACCTCCCAAGCATATTGTAACCAGCAACGATAAACAATAAATATCAACTTTTATCCCGCTTGAGGACACAGAATTGAAAAAATAGCTGAACTTGAATTGTATTGATGGTACCTGTAGAATCTCCACTCATCTAGTCAATGCAACTCTGCCGGAAATGATTTGTGGGCAACAACTGCTCACCAGAAACAGTTTTTTAACGCATAAACTCTTAGCTATCAAATAGTTACACTCACCACTGTTCCAAAAATTTGAAATTGAGATGTGTCGGCAGTCTCTGACAATGAAACCGCAGCTGAAAAAAGAACAGAATGCTAACAGTCTGAAAAAGCGGCATCACATGGCGGCGGTGGGAAATAGATGGCCAAGCAATCCTGTAGAACTCCAAAGTTTAAACTTGTGACCTGACACTAGGCAAAGCAGCGAATCTCCGTAAAGCAAATAACTGAAATACGCTAGCTTCAGCAATATTCCGCATCAAGGACCAGTACTTGTACTACTTTTTGCGAAAATTCTATTAAGACTCTCAGATTAAGTTATACTCATCATTTCATACTATCCAGGTAAAATTTAGTATTAAATTTGTGAAGCAGAAGCTGTACCTGACAAAAGACGGCTTGTCATAAGAAATTTGTAATATTGCTTATAAAAAAAAACATTTAAAAATCTTGACTCCTCTATCTTGGAAAAAAAAGTATACATACCTATTAATGGTCAGGAAAGTTGTAGTAGGAAGAAAAATAAAAAGAAAGAGATGTTGCATCTACTCAATATGCACAACGCTGTTTTATCTTTTGCAGAACATTAAAGTGTGGCGATAATGGCTATAACAAAAAATTAATTCTTACAACGTGTCAGAATCCTGTGAAGCGAACGAAGGAATATAAAATGTCGAAGAGAAGTTGACTGGCTGCAGAGCGTTTTCAGTTCTGTATCATTTTCGCAAAACGTGTTCAATGAAGTTCCTCGCTTTACTACCATAAATTCTTAATTTTACAAATTTGCGTTACTTTCTGGTCAAGTAGTCCTCAACGAAACATATGTTGTAAAACAAAGAAATGAGGAAAAATAGCACCGTTCTATTACTGTGAAAAAAGCTTGAAAAAGGTAAATCCAGTAAACCTCACTACTTTCATAGAGGTACATTGTGTAATGTAGTAAGAGTCATTTAGCAGCCGAAACTTCTAGACCACCAGAAATGGCGCTGAAAAAAACAATCCTACAAATTAGGAAGACGTCGGTTGACTGCACAGTTCGGCAAAAAATTTCAGTACTTCTTAACGCAGAAGAAAAGTTGCCATCAATTAAATATAGAAAGAAATAATAAAAAATGTTATGAAAGAAGTAATTGGTTGAAAATGATTAAAGTTATAAATAAAAGTTTTACGAAAAATTATAATATGAAATAATAACGTAAGACGAGCTTTGAAACAGGATCGTGCAGCATGAAGTAAAAATTACAAACACAACTCAAAGTCAATGTGTGATTAAACTGAAACGAACTGACGAAAACAAAACTTCCTCCTCAAATTATGCGACAAGAAGTGATTTGTAATTGAAAATGTTTTCAAGCGAGAAGCTTAAAAGTAAAAACAGAGGCAGCTGCTCAGAAGCGGTTCAGAACCAAAAAGGTGTAACTGTGTTTACGACTTACTTTTATCATAACTCAAATTTTAACACACTCGTATAAATAAAATTCTGTCCAACCAGCTGCACAGTTTGTCACATCACACGCTGAATTCCCATCCCAGTCTACGCTCGAAGTTTAAAAATCATTTTTCTAGGCAAAACTGTCAGAACTAACAACATGCCAACCAACCATTAACTTAAGCAGCCGGAATGTATTAGAATAATTTAAAGGTGCTAATAGCCAATAAAGGTAGGAACAGCTGCCAATGAAGGCATGAAACGAACTACCTAACTTTTCTACAGTCAAGCTGTTTTCTAATTCAAGTTAAAAAAATTTTTTTGGTTGTTATTTAATATTTTGAAAGAAATTAAATTAGAACCTTGTTTGACAATTCAAGAAAAAAGAGAGAATCAATAGTCAATCCAGGTCTTTACTTGACAAAAAATCTTAAATTTTTTAACGAGCTTCAAGATGCAGGAAACCTGATTGTAGTAACTAAACCGCTTGAAACAGAAGGAAGTTTTCTTCAACAATGGCAAAAGCATGAATAGTTTTCTTCACGCTAGCTCGTCACTTCAGGTTACTGTTCATCGTCACTGATTACTCTATTACAGTTCTTATGCTAAGTGATTTGAGAGGGTTCCAAATGTAACTGTCAACTGATAAACGAGAGAAAATTTAGGCACAATTGAGCGAATATCAAGCTAAGTAAATCATTTTCACGAAGCCATGATTAATTTCTCATGCTTTTAGCAAGATGAGAACACTGCTGTCCAATAAGTTCGGCGTCGAGAGCAGAAACAAAACTGGAATATTGAAACTGCTCGCCCATGCGAAAATTTTTAGAGTGGAAAAACGCATGACCTCAAAAATTCGAATATTTCAAGGTTGGTGAAGAAGTTTACGGAAAAACTGAAATAGCTCCCGTGACATCACGGTAGTCTCTAAAACCTTCAAGAAAAAATAGAAATAAAGACTTAGAACGAAGTATTATAATACTAGCGTTTTAACTCAGGATTAGAAGAGAAATTCACTGGGACGTCCGTCTAGCCGTTCAACCCTCTTCTCTCTCTTCCCTCCCCCCTACCCCCATGACGTCAAGAACTTAAAACATTTACGTCGGCTTGCCGAGTACTCTGGGATTTTTTGGCCATACTTAATCACGAATTAACTGTTCGCCTAAAAAGTACTAACGTTAGACTCAAAAAAAACAAGAAGGCAGGCAGTGGAGCAACTCGTCGAAAAAGCTATTCTCGCTGTTTACAGCAATCAGACCTGCATTTGAGAAACCAACGATCTTAACTGAATGCGAATCTGATCGAACTTTCGTGCAGAAGTAGCACCGAGATTGGCAGGATGCCAATAAGTTAATGATACTGTGTATAAATTATGCCACGAAGTTCTTTTAAGGAACTTTTCTTCATTCAGAGAAGTATACTACTGCTCTTCAAAATTGTTAGGTCTCCTCGGTTTCTTTCTTTTTCTGTCTGCTAAACACATATATAGTTATGGCGACTGTACCATAGCGGCTTTTTGGTTTATGTGTGGTTGCTAGGTGTATTTGATGATGGACTGCGTTTAAAGTTTCTTTCCCAGTTGTTTTGATCAATTCTGACTGCTTAACGTCTCAGGGAAGGGGGGCGGGGGTATTGTTTCCGGAAATAAAAATTTAAGATGGCAATACGAATACTGACGATTTAACCCAGAATTAGAGGAGTAATTCTTTAAGGTGTACGTCTGGCCGTTTTTTTCCCTTTTTTCTTACTAGTTAATCGTTTGCGTGACTTCATTTTTTCTTTATTTCAACCACATCATTTGAACTATTAAACTATCACTGCTGAAAATTATTTTTTATATATCAGTATTGCCTAATGTACATAACTTGCTGAAGCACTTTCGTCAACTAAATGTTTTATGACGAGATAACAATTTTTTGGTACGTTAAGATTGATTGATAGGGTTAAATTAGCAGTTTGCGAAGGTAGTTTGGAGATGTCAAAATTGCTGAAGGGTTTATTATATACCGAAAGCGATAACTTTTTTCTAAAGCTGGATGAGGTGTTGATGAAAATTATTAATTAATAGTTTCCCCATTATTTTCAAACATTTTTTGATAATAATGGAGACAGTTGGTGATTACGTTTTTTATCTGTAGGTCTCGGTTATTTGGATAATTGCTTCAGCTTTTTTAGTCTGTTTACGATAATTGTATCTCTTCTTAGTAGCAATTTTTCTCGCTGTTTACCGTATCGTTAACATTTTTTGGATTCTATATTTATAGTATTTTAAGACGTGGAGTCAATTTATGGAGTGGTTGTGAACATCCTGTTTTCTATTTTAGAGTATGGATGATTTTTTATTTTATTCGATCATTTACATATTGTTTTCTCTGTGCGTCGTTTTTCCTCCAGTGGAATTTATGACTAGCGGCTTTACCATAACTGCTTTATTTTCTGGAATATTGGGTGATGAAAAGTTTGCTTTCGTTGCCTACCACCTTCGACGAACAGTTTTACTTTTATTTGTTCACAGCTGTTTACCTTGGTGTAAGTTGAGTGTGCGATATGTATATTTGTTTTTCAGTCTTTTGCTGCATAATGCTTTGCGAAATTTAAGTTTGACCATTTAGAGCCTTTTACTAATGTACCAAAATTTTGAAATTAGTCTAAGGTGACACCTTAATTTGACTACATACATACATAAAGTGTATAATGTTTAAATTTATCTGATTTTAGAAACTTGTTCTTTTCAGTATACTTTGTTTTTTTGGAATTAGTGTTAGAGGACCCAATCTTTGCTATTTATCCTCACACTGTCATTCAGTGGCTTGCAGATGCATCGATGCTGTTTACTTTAGGTTGAAAAATTTACAGATTTCTTAAAAAATTATGCATTTTTGATAACTAATTATCCATTTAGTTTTTTATTCTGGTATATGGCGTAGGACAGTGTTCGCACCTGCTGTGAAAAATTTGTTATCAGTCAGAACAGTTAATCCAGAAAGGAACTTAGCAAGGGTAGGGAAAAAACCAAACAAGAAAAACATTGTCTTTAGACTTTAGTTACCTTAGAATGATAGCAGTTCTGTCAGGACTGCTATGCTCAGATAAATTCAGGAAGAGGAGAGATGAAAATATGGCGAGTTGACGGGGTAGTTTATTTTGGAATTTCCTCATGGTGTAGGTCAACTAATTTAAGTTGTGGGAAGTTTTGATGTTTCACCGTTACTTGCAAATGTAAGCTTTGTGTTTAATAATTTAAAAAGAGTAAATTTGCCTTTTGAGTGGTTAAAGGGTTTCTATCTTTTATCGAAACAAAAGTGTATAAGGTTAAATTACACGTTGGTTTCTATTGAGAGCTCTATCGTTTTTGTGAATCTAGTTTCAATTTCTTTGTGAGTTTGGTTGCTTTTTTTGAAAAAACCTGTTTTATTTTCAATACATCCATGATGGTTCTTGTTTGCCTCAGGATGTAACAGTTGCAGTACTTTTAAGGCTTTGGTGCTTACTTACTAGTGCGTTATGGAAGAAGCTGGGACTCACATCCTATAGTGGAATGTTTGAAGAGATATGATTCCTCGTGGCATTTAGTCGAAAAAAGCATTAACGACGAATATAGAAGCATGGGAAGCCTTGTTTTTTCATTGTCTGGTAATAGTCTTATCGTTTTTTGATTAGGAGTGAAATAGGCTGTTTAAAAGGTGTTGCTAAGAGAAGATTTTATGAGTAAAAAGTTATTTTGAGTTATTGAAGCGAGTTTATTTTCAACCGCTCTCAAAAGTTGTCTTTGGTTACAGAGGATTGTTATCTAATTTTCATTAAGTAACCGGTTTTTAATATTGAGGAAATTGTTAGAAAAGGTGCCCATCTTGGAAATTATTTTGTTAACTGGATAAAATTCAGAACTAATTAAATACTCAATTTTCTTGTGGCTTTCTAGGAAAGAAGGTTATTGTTACTAATTCCTGGCTGCTGAATGTTAAGAATTATACGGTTGATTTTGCTCAGATATCGGATATTCAACTTGAAGCCATAGAAGCAGATGTACACAATGTAAGGGAACTATGCATATATTTTTTTTAGTAAAATAAGTTGTTTTTTGTAAAACTAATTAAGTTTTCTGAGTTCTTTGCTTCGCCGAAACCTTTTTTATTTTTTAAAGTTATGCTTTCAAGCGGTGAGAATGGAGTTTTTTCGTTTTTCAAGTTCCTGTAAGTTTTACAGATTTCTTTTCATGAGCACTCTGGAGGTTCGGTTCAGTTCATAAATATTGAGGTTCGAAGCTGCACTAACAAAATTCGACCTTTCGTGATAAGGTAGTTTATTTTATTTGAAGTTGCGAAATCGCTTTCTGTTACTTATGTTGTTATTGAAATTATTCGAAATTATTCAGGATTCGCACTGAGTCCTTTCGAGATTTGAAAGACAAATTAAATAAACCAATTGCTCTTGCTCGTGAAGTGGTCCTTCTCCAGTCTCTAGATGAACGTTTTGTTGAAGCTTTTGTGGAGCAAGTCGTGCATAATCCTCCCTATATTTATTCAAATTTTGAGGCAAGAACAGTTTCTTACTTAGTTTTTCAAAACTTTCTAGTATTAATATTTTCATCAGTGCTATTATTTTACTGGCTTTATTTGCTGTTATTCGTACTTAAATGTTTTTTAGTCTCTTGAAGAGTGCTTTGGATGCGCTTCTGAAAAAGCAAACGTCAAGTTAGTAAAAAACTGCGTTGATGAGGACGGGCAGGACATACCAATTTGTTCTCCGTGTTATTGTCGTCCTATGTGGTAGTATTGCTTGAGAAATTCTTTTTTTAAAATTAATTTTAGTAGTTTAAAATTTAATTTGAAAATGATTTTAGGTGCAAAGCATGTATAGCACGTATTTTTGCTGCGAAACAGGATAAGGCTCATCCAGAACATTGGTTAGTTGGTAAAGCGAGCTGCCCAACGTGTCGTTCAGTATTTTGTGTCTTGGATGTTTGTCTTATACAACCATTGTTGTAATGAATATCTTTTTCAGAGGTATTTTTTAATGTAATTACGCTGCTTGTTGGATAACTGTTGTAGCGAGTAATGCACTGTTGAATTCAAATTGAAGTCATTGCTTTTAAAATGTAGTCTATGTATTTGTTATAGATGTACGAGTTTATTATAATTATCAGATGCTTTTGTTGGTAGTTTTTTAATTCCCGGGTCCATTAGCAGTTGTTGAATTTTAAGATGTCTAATTTCTGTTGTAGGTCATATGGTCTTGTGCTAATATTTTCTGATTAAAAAGGAGTAGTCTTTGTCTAGTTAAGAAGAAAGTGCTACTAATTTGGTATATTAGAATTATAATGGATTGGTAGTAAGCATAGGCGGCAAAATAACTGGAAGGTTAGAGTGACTGTAGGTCTCGTTTTTTAATCAAGTTTTGTTGCATATTTTTTTATAAACGAGATGAACTTTACTGTAAATATATTTTAAGAAGAGATAGAAAGAACTATTTGGGTAAAATAAGCTGGGTCCCTCATAAGTGGATGATAATTTTTATTTTTATTTTTCTGTTCTCTGTAAACCTATTTTTTGAATTAAATCAGACGATCAATTACTGTTGTTTGGCGGCCAGTTGAAGTTTTGTCTAATTTTCTTCTCTCTGACAGCAGTAAGTTTGAATATGAAAGTCACAAATAAAAATTGTATTAAAAGCATTTTAAAGTACCTAAATTAAAATCTGGTCAGTGCAAAATGCTGTTGCAATAAGTAAGCTTATGTTTTTTCTTTGTTTCTTTTAATGAGAAGGTCTCTTTGGCAGAATTCGTTTGGCACTACAAGATGTGCTGAAACAACCATGTCTGATTCTGTTTCAAATTAGCTTTTCTAACACAATTATTAGCCGATAGGGTCAGTTTACTTTAGAATTTAAGGAGCAATCTTTAGAATCTTGGATCTGCAATTGTTTGGGCTTCTCGAGTTAGTAACTTACCCTAGTGCCTCATGAACTGTCATAGTTTAAAGACGTGCCTACTTGCTGCGGAAACTGCAAGTTTTGAAAAATTGAAGGTCTTTGGAGGGCAAGCCCGTTGAATAAGACGCTCAGTTCGAAATCTTATGTTGCAGTTCATGCGGTGCTCTAGTCACAGTCCTTCGAGTGCTTGATTCAACACCATGTTGAGAAAGTGCTTGACTTACGGGTCACCCATTTTTGACTACAGACTTTCAAACTTGAGCTCTGGTATTTCTGTTTTTTGACATGATTCTATCTGTGTCAGAGAAGTCTTAATGCGTTATTAAATTCTTAATGGCTATTGTGACCGATCTTTTACGGGATTCTCGTCGTGCAACGTTACAGTCTTTTTTTTAATCATATCGCGCAATACAACAACATCTGTGACATGGATATCAGCTTGTTCTTTCGCTAAAGAGGTTTAGACGGGATTTTGCCAATTTTTGCATCTCAGCAAGTGGGTGATCATTTTTCTGATTTTCTTTACTTTTGATTAAGGAGTGTGACATAAAATTTATATTTAAGGAGCAGCCAGGTTGGCTACAAAAACTTCTGCAGCTTCTCCCATGAACCCGTCGGTGATTAGGATTGCAGCGGCGTACAAAGAACACGATGCCCAATATATACTGAGGCGCTTGTGGAAATATATAACCCTTTACACTTTTTGAGAATGGATCTTTCTGACTAATTCAGCTAGTTGAATTTTTACCACTAAAGCTAACTGGGCATTTCTTTTTGTATCGGAAGACTTTTCGTGCGATTGCAGTTTGGGCTACGGGTGTTCCTAAATCATGGATTAAAATTTGTTTTGGGGCACTGGCTAGTCATGGCCATTAGGAAATGAAGTGAATCTGACAAGCTCAGTGTTATCCCGTAAAAACCTCAAAGTTGGAAGAAAAATGTGAGAAAAGAATGATCTTACTCGTAGTGCTTAATCGTGGGATGTTTTAAAAAGTTCTAAAAAACGACGTAGGTTTGGAAACGGCGTTCAGTTTTTTTCCAATGAGCAGTATACGCGTTTACAGCCGTTGGAGCTGTGTTTAAGCTTTTCAAAAGTTGTCCTATGCTGCTTTAAAAATAACGGTAAAGACCGTGCTCGACATGTAGATGTCATTACAGTCTACTGCTTTGTGATAGTAAGTCGTGGCTAATGAATATTGCGGCACCACCAGGTGGAGTTAGATCTTGTTTCGTGCAAGGGGAATTCTAGTACACTACTGCCTTTTTTTACTTCAGTTTGCAATTAAAATTTCGTACCATTGTACAATTTTAGTAAGACTTGGTTTTGATTCATTTTTTGGTCAGCAACGTGATTAAGGTGTAACTAGCACTGTAGTTTGCATGTTTTTAAAATAATTTTAGGAAATTTTGTGTTGTTTGTGGCATTATTCTCAGGCACATATCTCGTTTCTTTTTTCCGCTTTTATGTAGGTTTCTCTCTGTATGTTAAACGTTCATTTTTGAAGTGGAGTCAAGACAGTGGGTCGTCTGGCAAGAAATTTGAAAGAACAATGGATCGCTATGGGTAACCGACAAATTCCTTCAACTAAAGACCAGCTACTGTAGCTGCTCTTCTGAAATCACTAAAAGTGCTTTCGTTCTCTTCACGTTACTACTGTGGACGTAATTAGCCCTTACATACCACAACTTCCTATGCATCTTTCAAATCCTACAAAGATTTTATTTTAGATTCTGTCGCCTTCAGTCCTCTTTGTCTAGAGGCAGTCTTACTTTGGTACATATGGAAGACTTTTAACAACTGTAAGGGCTAAACTTATTTATCTGCTCCTTTACTTTAAATCTAATTTTTGGAGTTCAATTACTCTAAAAAGCCAGCCTTTTGGTCCGTTTAGTCGCTATTCTTAAAAGAGCTACTTTTACCAAAAGTTCTTACATTTTTTTTACAGTGCCTTTCGCGAGCGTTTTCGTACTCCACACTTATTTAAACACTAAATTCCGATGTCCTTTCAAAATCAATAAAGAAGCTCAAATCCGCACTTATTAAATAATTTTAGAAAGCAAAGAATTATGCACACAATGTTTGATAATGCAAAGTCCATTGTTTCAAATGCGTCTTCAAGTACCATATGAACGTGAACAACCTGAAGCTGAAATCACATCTTACAGAGGTATCACTAACTGTTTTAAAAAAAATTTATTTAGATTGATGCATTTATGTTGTTTTGAAAATACTTGGAAAGAGAAGTTTGGCTAGCAGTGATTCTCCGAGCATAGTGATTACAACAAGTTACAGCTAATTCATATTTTTGAAAACGACTCAGTTGGACTGAATCGTACAACTTATAAATATGCACCCATTAATAGCTGTCAGGGTAATCTAAAGGTGAATATTTCATCTCAATCGGCCTAAATGTAACCCTGTGCGATGCTTCGTCTTCTGGACCCCATTCCTAACTGCATGGGTCAAGTCAAAAATGCCACTGTATTTAGACTTTAGCAAAATTAAAAAATTATTTTATTATCTAAATTTATTTAAAAAATGAAATGTTAAAAGTTGTTTTCTTTTCAAAAAATTAGTGTCTATTATAGCATCCTTCGTGAATTCTGCATCCATCACCCTCATTCGAAGAATGCAAAAAATAACTGCAGTGACAAATTAATATCTGAATGTTCAGACGAATGAAAAACGTCTGAACGGCTTACGATACCATATAATGAATGTAACAATTGTGCTGCCCACTAATTTTTTTAATCACTGCTTTATCGCTTATCATTCTTAAGCCAAAACTTTTTTCTTCCGTACTCTTAAGCATAAATCACTCAGCTGTTTATCAGTCCAAAAATTCTGTCACGCCACCTACAGCATAAAAATCTGATTTTTCTAAATCATTATCGCTGTAACATTTGGGTGACTGATGCACTCCAGTCACTTTTCCGTTTGCTACTCAGGATGGCCGTACCTAGAGCTCACCAGTTTCGTCGCTGAAACAGATAACCCCAATGCTTATACAATAACAACTAAAAAAAGCAGTCGCACTTCCTCCTTTTCAACTGTTATTACTGCATTATGCAGCAATCCTCCAACGAATGCCGGCAAACTAAACAAACATGGCCTGAATAATTTTACTAAAACAATGGCATTCACCTGGTATCAAGTTCCGAACTTCAGTTTAGTTGATTTCAAAATTTGTGCTTCGGAGGTTTAAAATAAAATTTGTTTTTGGAAAAATAAGACGAACTTTATTCAGTTCAAGTCACACCTAAATGCACCTATTAGGCCGGTCAACTTTACAAATACCATCCACGACTTCCCCAGCCAGTTAACAGCAGACGAAGACGATTAAACCTAGCTGCAGATATCACGTTTTCCCATTATAGTACACTTCCCTGTAAAATAAACACCTTCAATGATTGTACAGTAGGACCCGGTGAGGAAGATCCCGACTAAATAACCGAAAAAAATGGAGCTCTTGGTAACCGTACTACCGGAAAAATTGAAAACTATTCAAAAATTAAAACACATGTAACGCTTCTCATGACGTAATCCGTCATCAATATCTAAAGACAAACTTGATGAATATGAATTATGGCCGGAACTTAAACGTATCTCTGGCTGTAAAAATAAAGCATAACAAGATCTGAAGCTAGATATTGTCATGCAAAATCTGGGAAAAATTTGAACGACCCGAGTGTGTGCAACTTCTAACAGGCAAATCGCAAAATACAACCCAATGTTTTTTTTTTTTTTTGATCCAGAACGGAAGGACTTAATCGTAGCTGTGTAAGCATCAAGACACCGTTATTTTTGAACTTTATAATGTTCATAGAACCACAAAAATGATATTTACAAAAGTAAATAATAACCATGAGACAACGTGGATATACATATAATATCTGACGGGAAATAGCGTTATAAAAATCATCTCTCATAAAAATAACAGCAAAACTGAAAAAATTTATAGCTTTTCTGAATTTACAAATCGATCTTATTAGCTTTTAAATTCCCACAGTGATCTACTTAGTTAAAAATCAAAGGCGCCTAAAACAATGTAAGTCCTAAAAGAAATATGAAACAGCTCAATCCATACTGCAAAACGGAGATGGACAACAAAATAAAGAACGATTAAGCTAAGGGAGAAGAATAAAATAATATAAATAGTGGAGAAGAAACAGAACAATACGAACGAAACAGTGCAAAACTAAAGCACTACTTTACGGGTGAAATACATTTTATCCTACCTTCCGCAAAAACCAACCAGTAGTTTTTCTGGACCAAATGTAATTGAAAACATTTTACTCTAGAAAATTTAGGCCTACATTAAAAAAAAAAATCCTTAGCTAGATTCCCAGCTGTGCAACAAAAAAAGAAGTTATATAATTCGAATAATGCAAAACATTGAGTTGAACGGAGAAAAAAAATCAAATGCTGCCAAACTAAAATAGTAATATAAATCTACTAACAAGATTCTCAAATTCATCCGTCATTCTTATGAAAAACAAAAATGCCAACAATGGTACAAATCCTCCAGTGATATTTTTAAAAAGTATGAACTTAAACCACAATAAAAAAGTCAGTACCGCACATCTTTAGTCTTCTTCTTCAAATAATGCACTGTCAAGAATACAAAATCTGTCTTTGCCTATCACACTCGTTACATACCCACTCTGCACGTGGCTCATTCAGGATTGTTTGAAAAGGTTCAGCCAACAATTGGCTGCAAGACTAAAAAAAGCCAAAGTATTATTTTATTCAATGAGTTGCAATGAAAAAAAATAACCTAGAGGTAATATAACAAATAGATCGAGAAAAGACCAATTACTTTTTAAAACCCTTTTTAAAACCGTTAAAAAATGCTCTAGCCCGGTAACAAACAATTTTTTAATAAGAGCAGCAAAAATGCTAGTAGACCCAAAAATTAAAACAAATATTGTACGTAATCCTAAAAAGGATAAAATTAGCCGATTTAACCAGCTGCATTTTTCAAAAGAGAGATTTCCAAAAAGCTTCCGAGAATGTAAACAATTTTCATTACAGAGAACGATTACTGAAACAAAATTCATAAAAAGATCACCTGGTGAAAATATCGTAGACAACCCTGACCATTCCCGGTACACTGAATAGAAGGGCCTTCCTAAACAAAAGAGCAATAAAAAAGGCAAAGTAGTCAAAGATCCAAACCAAAAAATTTGCATGTAAACTAAACAAAAAGTTTGTAAATCTTACCCTTATTTCTTCCTTGCACAGGCCACAATGTTGAGAACTAGGCCCAAGCTGGGAGAACCCAGAATTATTAGACATATTTCCATTCATTCCCCCGTAAACATCACTTGGAGCAGATGACATTGAGTGCATCTAAAAAGCAAATGATAAAAGAAGCTAAAAAGACTGCCCAATGTGCCTTAACAGAAAATATCAAAATTCGGAATGAAATGAGCTTGAACACCAGCAGAAACGCAGGATGAAGTCAGCAATAAACAGCTATTGTCACCTGATATTGAGGATTCTTGTCTACAGGTCTACCATCAAACATGCGAACGTTATCAGGCTGCATATCTGGATTTATCCCTGTATTCTGTTGGAACATGCCAGGTTTCTGAAGTTGATTCATTTCAACCGCCGTCTTTGTATTATTCATTTGCCCATTAACACGCATAGACAAAGAGGGAGGTTGCATCATCCCCCCACAGTCTTGACTGTTCATTTGCTGAATGGGCTGATAAGGCTAGAAAAGATGACCGGAAAATGAAATCAAAAAAAATTTTGTCAACAACCACTTTTTAGACATCTTTAGGTTAAACAAAATAATGTCAAACCAAAATGGCTTTACAGTACCTGCATATTTGGGTTACTATTGCTCATCATCGAACCGTCATATGGGAACTGCGAGCGCCCTCCATGCATCACCATTTGAGGATTTGGAGGACTTGGTGTGGACGAAGGTTGACCTCCCATAAGAGCGGGATTTGTAGCCATTACGGGTGGCATTGGACCAAAACTATTTGCTGCACTTGTGGAAGGTCGTCCTAAATCCAAAGTTCTGAGCATATTTCATAAGAAACTTTTTGTATTAACACTCCAGCTATTGATGGTGCTGAAAAAACCATACTGAAACAGTTCAGAAAATTAAAAGAAGAGACGTACCCATATCACCCACTTGCTCATACATATTTCCGCAGGGCACCGTAAACTCCATTTTCCGCATTGTTTTTGGTGCCCTTTCTTCCACAGCAGCTTTTGCGCTTTGCTTTCTTCTTCCCCCGGCTGTTGTCTGGCTCTTCTTTAAACTTGGCATCACACTGTTAGGTCCATAAGGCACATTCGGAAAACCGTAGGGTCCGGGCATTTGAGAGCTGCACGGCTTACTACATCCCATCGCCCGAACCTGCTGCATATAAGAAGGAGACATGCCACTGGGTGAAGGCGTTGGGGCTGGATATGAAGGGGAAACCCCGCAAGAATTCATGGCACCCGGATAAACACCTCGAGGTGGACCTGTCATATACTGCACTGGCCTTCCACGATTAGGAATATTATACATAGGCGCTGGGGGCAGATTCCCAAAGGCTTTGTTCAGCATAGCTACAGCTTCAAAAGCTGAATCCGGGTACGGTACGCGTGCATTTCTAAATCACAACTTTAACTTAAAAAGAGTCTTTCTAATGGAATCTGTGCTCCCAGAATGTTGCTGAAACTGACTGACAAAAAGTAACAAATGTTATATCGTTCAATTTTAGAGAACGTTGGCAAAGTGTGGTCTAAGTCTAATAGAGTCATCAAAGCAAAGCCAGAATTTAAACGATTGCAAAAATTTAACTTCAGGCAGAAATTCAAAACTCCATCCCCTCTCCCATGCAAGAAAATCCATCCGTATAAATCATAAAAATAACAAGAACATAAAACAAAATCAGATTCAAAAAAATTGAATTAAAAAATGAACGAAATAAAGTACCTTGGCAAATCTAAGCGAATACCGCTACATTTGGGATCTCCCATATTTGGATAAACTGGTGGTTGCACGGTGGAAGGTGCTCGACTGCGCGGAGATGGTTCGTAAAACGGATCACATATAATTGTAACTTCGGTGGCATCAGTAGTGTTGACTGATGATGAACCAATAAAGTTTGCCGAACAAACTTGAACTTGTGGGGGGCATTCTTCAGCTGGAGGTTCAGGAGTTAAGTCCTGAAAGGCATCTCTAGTGGTTGGAAGCTGGTAATTGCCTTGTTGAAAGTTTGTGTTAGCACAGCTAGCTGCCGTTGCACCTTCAGTTGGAGATACTCCCGCCACATTATAGACTGAATTTTGATTAGGGGAATAACTACGGACAAGTGGCGAACTCGTGTGAATCGAATGCTGAAATACTATGATAAAGGTGGAAGAAAATTGCAAATCATGTAATCTTTTTCTCTGGTAAAGCTCCTGAGAATTAAATAAAACTAACAAGAAAGTCAAATTAACAACTGTATGTTACGCTACTGGAATATTTTCGAATGTTACAGTGAAATGAAAAGACTTAAATGGTAAAATTAAGGTAAAAATAAAAGCAAAAACAGTTAATATAAATTTATATGAAATTTTAATAGAACACTATATAAAGAAGAGTATAAGACGGATAAAATAACAACAAAAGAAGGATATATTTGTATATATATACAATAAAAAACAATGAAATATATGCTATACTGTTGGCATATGAAAAATTACTAGAAATAGGCAAAGAAAAGCATTTTCAAAATTTAAGAGAAAGTCAGGACTGTATGAGTAGGCTACTTTTAGACTAGGGTAATCTTAATGTTTGGCTTTCTTACTTCCCTTACACATATAACGATGCAAGCAGGAGAAAAATACAGACATTATGTAGAAAAAGGTATCGTCTTTTTGAGTTTCTTCGCCGAAAAAAAGCATTATTAAAGGAACTTTTAAATCCTTACCGGAGACTGTTCGGTCTTATGAGTATCGTTAGCGTGAAGTACAGCAGTTGTCGCCATTGTAGTGATAAATTAAGTCCAAAAGAAAATGTATTTTTTAACAATGAAGAATAAAAGAGCGGTTAGTCTTTAATCGATTGTACTCCTTAAAAACCTTTAGCAAGAGAATATGAACACATCCTGAAACACGAAAAGATTACTGCAGAGGAAAAGTCGAAGACTGAAATTACGCTGGTTGAACGCACGCAAGAAAATATATAGTTTGTTACATTTCAGTGGCTGTTTAAGCCAAATTTACGTCCACAGAACAAAAAAATAGATAATCAAGACTGGCAACAGTATTATAAAAAAATAAAAACAGAAAGAAAAAATGAAACCAATACTAAAGACAGATGTTCAATAGGAATATTGTCTAAACTTTAAATATTGTAACTTATTCGTCATTATTATGTTTTGATTACTTTCTTTTTTTTTTTATATCAAATGTCATAGATAACAAGCAACGTAAACTATCTTACTACGCACCTATAGCGGAACTGGCCTTCCATGCTTACTTTTCTGTACACTATCGATACGATGACTCATTCAAGATATATATGCACAAATGTGCAAAAAAAAGTTCTTGGCAATAAGTGAAAAAGTAAAAGTAAATTAAAAACATGAGTTATAACCTTTTTCTCATTAGGAATTAAAAAATTGGATAAGAGAAGCATTTAAATGGAAAGGCAGTGGCTAATGGAGAAGATTTTGATGACTGGCAACAACTCTGAAAGACGTGAAGATGCCAACAATATGAAGGTACACTGAAAATTCAATGTAAACACAAAGCAAAACAAAAAATAT